CTCTGGCTTGAAGGCTGAAGGGGCTGAAGGAGTTGGAACTTATTGGAGTTTGAACTTATTAGAGTTGAGTTGGGACTTATTAAAAGCTAAGTTGGGACTCATTAAAGTTGTTGGGATTTATTAAAGAGGCGTTTTTTGGCCTGTAGGAGTTGGGACTTATTAAAGTTGGGAGTTATTAAAGAGGTTATTACTGGGGGGCTGTGGGAAGTGTTTAGTGGGAACAGAAGCACCTTTGGAGCTCCTCTTGCCCTCCCTGCTCTCTGGACATCTCCAGCCCTTCACCTCCTCAATGTCCCGGGTGTTTTTTGGGCAGCTCTCACCTTTCCATGAATTATGAACGCACTGGGCTCTCAGTGCACTGTGGGGACCAGGCAGGGCACTGGTGGCACTGGCAGCACAGGGGGTGCCCAGCCTGACCCCCAAATCCCCGTGAACTGAGCCAGGGAGCCAAACACAAATTGCAGGAGGTGCTGCTCAGGCGGAGGCCACGTTCCTGGCCGGGGTGACAACAGGAAGGGTGGCTGCTGTCCCTCGGTGGCCTGGGAGCTGTTTCCTGGCTCCTAACGAGGGATTCTGTGGCACAACAGGCTGGGCTGAGGCTGAGTAGGAGGAGGAAGGCTCTGGAGGAGGTGGATGCTGGCACAGCGTGTGCCATGACTAATGCCACCACCCAGGCTGGGCTCTGCTCCTGGGGCACAGCTCGCTCCTCTCCAGGGGCATTTCAGCCCTGGGAATGCTCTGGAAATGCTCTGGAAATGTCAGTATTTGCAGGAATAAAGTTTCCTGGTGTGGAGCCTCGAGCTCTGTTCTCGGTTTGTTGTTCTGGCTCCTTTATTCTGGGTTCTGTTCTGAGTTCTGGGTTTTTTGTTCTGTATTCTGGGTTTTTTGTTCTGTGTTCTTTATTATGTATTCTGGGTTTTTTGTTCTGTATTCTTTATTCTGAGTTCTGGGTTCTGTTCTGTATTCTGGGTTCTGTTCGGTGTTCTTTATTCTGAGTTCTGGGTTCTCTTCTCTATTCTGGGTTTTTGTTCTGTGTTCTTTATTCTGGGTTCTGTTCTGTATTCTTTATTCTGAGTTCTGGGTTCTGTTCTCTATTCTGGGTTCTGTTCTGTGTTCTTTATTCTGAGTTCTGGGTTCTGTTCTGTGTTCTCAGTTCTCTCTCTGGCTCAGCTCCTTCGTGGTGCTCCTGGGCTCCTCTCTGCTTGCTGGGGGCTCTCCAGAGCAGCCCTGGAATTCCTCCTGCAGCAGGGAGGTGCTCCCTGGACTGCTGAGATTTCCCAGCTGGGATTCAAGCCCCTCTGTGATGCTTTTCTCCCTCTCTGGGATTTCCTGGGGTCTTTTCTCCTCATCTTCCCAGCAAGCTGGGCTGAGCTTCCAGGTGAAACCAGGCTCTGCTCCCCAGGACCTGAGGATTCAAGGGAAACGTTCAGGGATGCACAATAATTGAAGCTGGGAGCAGGTGGAAGGGATGTGCCCCAGATGTGGAGCTCTGTCCCTTCTGAGCCTCACCCTCTGCAAGGTGAAAACCAAAGAAGCTCCTGCATCCCACAGAAAAATCCTTAACTGGGCCATTTCAACTGATTTTTGCTCCTTCTCATGGCCCTGGTTCCTTCCCCTGTCCAGAAAATTGAGGTTCAGGGAATTTAAATTATCTGGTGGAGATCTTTCTAAATTAGACTTAAATAGACCTGGAAGCCCTTTGATGTATTAAAAATGTGAAGTTTCCAGACTGTTGCAACCCGTGAAAATCCTGGGCTTGTCCTCTCTCCAGGAAAAAAAAAATTCCAGTTTTTAAAGCTGAGCAGTGATTACCTGAGGATGGAAAAGGTACTCAGGAGTGAGGAATTATCTGTGAAATCTTCTTAGAGCAGAGCAGCTGCTCATGGGCACGTTCAGGAAATAACCCTTAATTAGAGCAGAACCACCCAGGAATGGTAATGAGGTGCCTTTGGAGTGGTTTCACCTGGTGAGAAACGTTTAAATTAGGGTAAGAAAAGCTGGTAATAAAGTGTAATTTACCTTTTAATACCCCAAACGATGGTGGAGAGGTGTGGAATGGAATGGAATGGAATGGAATGGAATGGAATGGAATGGAATGGAATGGAATGGAATGGAATGGAATGGAATGGAATGGAAACTCCTGTTTTAGGGGGAAACAGGAAAACCAGCACAGCACTGCAGGTTATTCAGTGTGAACACACAGGTTTGTGCCTGGCCTTGCTGTTTCTGCTGAAATAAAGGTGAATTTTTCCATGAAAAGCCAATTTCTGCTCAGGGAGTGAGTGGGGCACTGCTGTCTCCCAGCCTTCCAATCTAACGAAAAATGAGTCTGAAGGAGCTGGAATGTTAGAGAAGTAGCAATAATAAATACTCCATTGGTTTCCAAGTGCTGCTGTTGCCATTCCTGGACAGGTGAGGATGGGTGGGAGGCCCTCAGTCCTTTTGCAGCCCTGCCCTGGGCCCTGCCCTGGCCAGGTGAGGTCACGGGGTTTGCTGGATGCCAGAATTGAGTCTGGATTGAATTCCCCTCCCTGCCTGGATCAAACCCTCAGGGCCCAGGGGAGCCGGGGGAAGGAGCTCTGGGCTCTGTTCTGGGGGGTCCTGCTGGGCTCAGCTGCCCCTGCCCTGCCTTGGGGTGCCCCTGACCCCAAACCCCCCCGGCAGTGCCCGAGCTGGGCTCAGGGCTGGGCCCTGTTTGGTTTTAGTGCTGACACAGAGCCGGAGCTGCAGGAGCCTCTGATTCATCCCGGGAGGGCTCACACCCAGCCCGGGCTCCTTCCCCTGCTGCTGATCACCTGCAGGGACTGGGGGGGGCTGTGCTGGTCCCCAGTTCCCACTGGGGCTCCCCAGTCCCTGCTCTGGATGGGGTTCAGAGCTCCAGATCCAGGGGATGGCCAAGATTCCCAGTTTGGGGGGCTGAATGCACCCTCTGGGGGCATCCCCAGGGTCCTGGGGTGCAGGGGAAGCACACGGGGGGTGCAGGTTTTGGGGGGTCTGAATGCACCCTCTGGGGGCATCCCCAGGGTCCTGGGGTGCAGGGGAAGCACACGGGGGGTGCAGGATTTGGGAGAGCTGCCCTGCCCCAGCCCCTGAGAGGGGTCTCTGGGATCTGCTTTAATCTCCCCAGGGCCGGTGTTCTTCCCTTCCCTACTGGGAAGGTGGCAGAATATCCCTCAAAAGGGGAAGCTGAGGTGTGTGGGGTCCTCAGCCCATCCTGAGGACACCTGGGGGGGGTTGCAAGGTTTAATTTCCTGACCCGAAGGGTTCTTCTACCTCCCTTCCTCCTCCTGCTTGTCCCCAACCCTTTCTGGGGACAGCAGGGGGGGTGACAGTGCTGTCCCCAGGCTCAGCAGGGACTGCAGGTCCAGGGGGCCCAAAATCCACGTGGGGCTGCCCTGGCCAGGGCTGCAGGACCCTCTGGGTGGGATGGAGCTGAACCTGGGATGGAAGAGCTCCCTGGGCAGAGCCTGCCCGTCCCTGGGGCTCTGTGGGGGGAACCTCCCCTGGGCAGCAGGAGGAGGGTGTCCCTGTCCTGCTGCCCTGGTCCTGGTGTCCCTGTGTCAGTGTCCCTCTCTCGGTGTCCCTCTCCAGTGTCCCTGTGCCTGTTCCAGTGTCCCATGCTGGTGTCCCTGTGCCAGTGTCCCTGTCCCTGTGCCGGTGTCCCTGTCCTGGTGTCCCTGTGCCTGTCCCTAGGTCCCTGGTGCCTGTTCCAGTGTCCCGTGCTGGTGTCCCCGTGCCTGCCCCGGTGTCCCTGTGCCAATGTCCCTTTGTCAGTGTCCCTGTCCCGGTGTCCCTCTCCCTATGTCCCTGTGCCTGTTCCAGTGTCCCATGCTGGTGTCCCTGTGCCGGTGTCCCTGTGCTGGTGTCTCCCTGTCCCTGTGCCGGGAGCTGCTCTGGCAGAGGGTTGTGGTAGAACTGGAAGAGCAGGGCCAGAGCAGAAGGGCAGGTGAAGGTGTGGGTTTGGCACAGCTGAGGGGCTGGGGAGTTGTGGGTCACTTTTTGAGGGCACCCGCGGAGCTGTCTGGGAGAACTGGTACAGCTGGAGTCAAACCGGCCGTGTGGGAAGGGCTGGAAGCACTGAGGATGGAAAAGGTGAGGATTGTTCCTGCTCCTTCCAGCCCCGGGATGGATCCCAGCTGCCCTGCACTGCAAGGATTGCTCTGTCCAGCCCCAGGATGGACTCCCAGCTGCCCTGCACTGCAGGGATTGTTCCTGCCCTGCACTGCAAGGATTGTTCCCGCTCCTTCCAGCCCTGGATGGATTCCCAGCTGCCCTGCACTGCAGGGATTGTTCCCGCTCCTTCCAGCTCTGGATGGATTCCCAGCTGCCCTGCACTGCAAGGATTGTTTGTGCCCTGCACTGCAAGGATTGTTCCCACTCCTTCCAGCTCTGGATGGATTCCAGCTGCCCTGCACTGCAGGGATCATTCCTGCTCCTTCCAGCTCTGGATGGATTCCCAGCTGCCCTGCACCTGCTGCTCTTCCCCACTCCAGCACAGGCACCCACTCATCCTTCCCAGGATTCCGGTTTTCCCCTCCCAACCCAGCAGCTCCCACAGGATCCAGAGTCTGAGTCCTTGCTATTTCCCTGACCCTTTGGGATGAGTTTGTGTCCAGCTCAATCCATTCTTCCCCCTAAACTTTGAGACTTGAGCTGATTTGCACCCAGGAATTTTATTTTTTTTAAACTTTCCTTTATTTGCAATAAATAATAAACTATAATACAAAGATCTCAATACAGAATCCAAAAAGTCTCGTTCTTTTGGGAATAAAAAGGACTCCCAGCACCAGGAAAGGTGAAAGAGCATCTACGAGCAGCCCCTGGGCTGGGGGTAGCTGCGCCCCCCTGCCCTAAGCAGTTGTTCCCCTTCCCCCAGGTGTTCCCATCCCTGGGCCAGGTGAGGTCCTGCAGGTGCCCCGGTGTGGGGTGTGGGGCCCTGCCAGGGTGCAGGGCTGGAGCCGAGGGTGCAGGGCCTGGCTGAGGGGAAGCTGGAGAGGTTCTAGAGCTCATGCAGGGGTTCTTTACACACACAGAGAGCCCCCGGCCTTCCGGCACCCGCGGGGGCCGGGATGGGAATGTTTGGATGAAGAGTCAGCAGCTGCAGCTGGGTGTGGTGGTGGCCTGGCTTGGGGCACACACGAGCCCACGGGTGGGCCTTCCTCCCCTCCCTCAGCCTCGCTTTGCCAGCTGCTCCTACGGCGGGGTCAGCTCCATGGACTTCTTCCTCTCCTCCCGCTGCTCCTCCCACTCCTCCTCGGACTCATAGGTGCCCTTGATGATGGCCACCCTGTCAGACATGTTCATGCAGTAGGGGACCAGGATGTAGAAGTAGAGCAGGGAGGCCAAGCAAGCTCCAAGGATGGGCCCAACCCAGAACACCTGGAAAGCAACAGGGACGTGGTGAGAGCAGCTCTTGGGGCTGCTGCTCCAGCTCTGCTCATGGCACCATCATGCATCCATCCATGATTCCATCCATCCCTATCCAACCATCCATCCATGATTCCATCCGTGATTCCATCCATCCCTATCCATCCATCCATCCATCCATCCATCCATCCATCCATCCATCCCTCCCTCCCTCCCTCCCTCCCTCCCTGCCATGCAAAGAGGAAAATACCTGTTCCAGACACTTCTTGGGCTGAACCCCCCAGCCTGTGCTCACTGAGGGCCAAACCTGCTCTGTAAGTGTGGGGCTGAGCTTGCAGGAAGTGCTGGGTGAGAGGAAAGGCCAAGCTGGGCTCCTCCATGGGCTTCCTTCCCCTCTGATGATGCACCAGTGGTGCTCAGAGGGCACCAGGGCTGATTTCTGTGCCTGGAAGTGTCCAAGGCTGGGTTGGATGGGGCTTGGAGCACCCTGGGCTGGTGGAAGGTGTCCCTGCCCATGGCATGGGGTGGGACTGGATGAGGTTTTAGGTTGTTCCCACCCAGCCTACCCTGGGATAGGTTCATTTCTGGCTGGCTCTGTGCCTGGGGATTCACTGTTCCCGATGCATCAGGGGTCAAAACCTCCCTCCTTCTCCAGCCCCTTTTAGCCCTTCCTGCCCGGGGTGGGCTCTGAAACCATTCCCACAGCAGTCCTTGCTCTGTCCCCACCTGTCCCCCACCTCTCCCCAGTGCCACCAGCACCCACCCAGTGCGCGGGGCTGAACCTCCTGGTGACGACGGCGGGCCCAAAGGAGCGCGCAGGGTTCATGGAGCAGCCGGTGAAGTAAATCTGGAGGTGTGGAAAGAGCCCTGGGTTAAGGAGCAGATCAGAGCCACCCTTTGGGAGCAGGGACTGAGGTGTCCCCGATGGTGTCTGCTCCAGAGAGCTGGAGATGACCCCTCACCACAAAAAAACCCAAGATCTCCTGTGTTTGCTCCGCCAGAGCAGCTCCAACTGCTTGAGGGCATTTTGGGGAGCTCTGTGCTCGCAGGACCCCTGACTCACCCCCACCAGGTGGCCCACGGTGACGGAGAGGCCGATGGACAGCGCGGGGGAGCCGACGCCGCTGCGCCGGTTGTCCGTGGATGCGAAGATGCAGGCGGCCAGCTGGAAGGTGAGGATGATCTCCACCACCAGGGCCTGGCCTGGGGTTATGTTGTTGTTGAGCTGGAGCCACAAGAGTGACAATAATTAACCCTTCCAGGGCTTAGCACCACCGGGAGGGCTCCCGGGTGCTTTGCTGGGAGGTTTGGGAGGGTGAAGTTGGAGGAGAAACCCCCAGGGCCCCTGCCAAGCCCCTGCTTGAGCTCCCTGCTCCTTTTCTCAAAAGAAATTATCTTTCTTTCTTTGCAATTCTCCAAGATCTGTCTCTCCCCCAAGCCTGTCCCTTGCCTGGGCTCTCCACATTTCTCTACACTTTCCTGTCTCCACAGCACTGGGTGCTTTCCCAACAAATCCCTTTTTTCCTGCATTTCTTTGATCCTTGCAGCCTGTTGTACCCTGCAATTCCTGGAGCACCTGCCCAGGAGGATGAGGAGCAGCAGGGATGGGATGGAGGGTGAGGTTGGGATGAAGGTCATGGCCTGGGATGGGCTGTTCTGTCCCAGTGACTCTGCACAAAACCCTGGGGACTCTCAGGGGAACTCAACCCCACTGGACACGGAAAGGACAAAGTGATCCAACCCATCAGAGCTCATTTTTTATCTAAATCTGTCTCGTTTGGGATGTGGAACCTGTGGAATGAGAGGCATTGGAGCTCCTCATCCCAGTGAACGTCTGAGCTGCCCCCAGGCCTGTCCGTGGTTGGAGCAGCAGCCCCACCACTCTCACTGCAGATGTTCTCCAGCACTGCCCTGAGGGTTTCAGGCCATGCTTCATTCCTGCTTATCTCAGAGGGTTCTGCTGTGCCCCCTCCTCCCCTGGGAGCAGCCCCCACTGCTCGGGGCCCCTCCACACCGTCCTGCCCTTGCTCCTTCTCCAGCTCTTGCCCACCACTCTCCCCATCCCTCTCCATTCCCAGCTCCCCCAGGGCTCTGGCTCCAGTGGGCTCCTGCTCCCCCTGCCCATACTGGTCTGACTGGGCTCTGCTCCCTCCCTTCCCCCTGCTGCTGGCACGGCTCCTGTCCCGCGCTAATCTCCAGGTGGAGAGGCTGCACTCAGGAATATCTCAATGGTGCGAGTGACTCACGGGGCCCTCGGGACAGAGGAAGCCCTCATTACAGGAGGGAAAAACATCCCACTCATCACTCACACAATAAAGCCGTCATGTCAGAGCTCGGCTCCGCTCCCGTCCCATTCCCAGCCCGCCGTGCGTGCGGGACAGAGCGCTCAGGATCCATCCCCAGGATTCTCCTCCCTGTGCAGGTGCCAAGGGGAAGGCAAGGCAAGAGGGGAGATCCTGGGCAGGACTCACCGCGTTGATGGCCAGGTTGCCGCGGGTGTTGGCGGGGGTGACGCCGTAGAGGATCCCGGCGCCGGCGATGGCCCCGACCAGCTGGGCCACCACGTAGAGCAGCGTGCGCAGCAGGGAGATCTGGTTGCCCACGAAGAAGGCGATGGTCACGGCCGGGTTGATGTGGGCGCCGCTGATGTGGCCGAAGGCCTGCACCAAGGTGCCGATGGCCAGCCCGAAGGCCAGCGCGATCTGCAGGATGCTGGGCAGCGCCGACGGCCACTTCAGCGCCGAGCCCAACCCGATGAAGACGAAGATGAGCGTGCAGAGGAACTCCACAAAGACGGCTCGAGCAAAGGCCAGGGTTAGTATTTCCTTCTTCATGGTGGGAGCAGGTGGAGGGCAGCCAGGGAGGAAGAAAGTTTAGGATTGCTCTGTGTCCAGGCTCTGGTGTGTGCAGCCGGGTGTAGGGCCATACCTATCTATATATGCAAGAGCAGCAGGAGCTGTGTTACAGGGTGGTGGGTGGAGCCAGGGGATTAGCCAGTCCTCCCAAATTACCATGTGAACCTGCAAAAATTTCCACCTGAAAATGTCTTTGGAGCCTCTTGGTGAACCTGTGACTCAGATATTGGTGGTATTTCTCTCCTTTCCCTCTGCAAACAAAGAGCCCCTATAGGGTGTCTCTGTGGTCGTTGAATAACGAGGTTGCATAACGAGGCTGAGCTCCCTCCTCTGCTTTTGGCTTTTACTGCCTCTCGCCAGGCCCTGGGTGTTTCACTAGCACAGGTGTAGTTAATATTTGCTCCCTCCCTCCCTTCCCTGTGCTTGCACACTCCTCCTGTTGGAAAACCCTTGTTGGGCTGGAGCAGCTCTGCTGGGCCGGGCTCTGGGTGCGTTTGATTTCCATGGAACCTTGAAATGGAAAATCAAACACCTGGAGCTTCTCCCAGGCTGCCAAGAGAGCTCAGCTCCAGCAAACAAGTGGTTTGCGGTTGTCCAGGGAGCAGGGGAGGGTTTGGGGGAAGCTTTGTCCGTCTGGGGAGCTGTAGATGAGCCGGAGCTTCCTTGAGGTGCGTGGATGGAGAAATGGCGTGGAAAGAGCTCCTGCTGCAGAGCCTGGCTGGGAACCTCTGCTCCCTGCCCTTTCTGCTGCTCCTTCCAGAGCACTGGAACAAGTGCTGGAATTGGGGCGTGCAGCTGGGAATGGTGTCTCCTCCCCTGTCACCCTGTGCCCTTTCCTTTTCTTTCTGCCTTTCCAGCTCTTGCTCAATGAGCAGTGATTTTGCTCCTGGGAATGCCAGCACCAAGCCACAGGCTCTGCATGGACACAGGCTGTGTTTACACGTCTCCTTTCATGTTCCTGGGGCGCTGCCCTCCATCCCAAACCCATCCATTGGCAGGTGCTTGGCTGGCAGGGAGGGGCAGGGGCGGCTCTCGGGGCTGTGCCCATGGAGCTCCGGGGGACGGAGGTTTTGGGGCGGAAAAGGTCTCAGGTGACACTTAACAAAGAATTCTTGGTTCTCTCTTAGCCCTCGCAGCTTTGTGCCAGGATATTTGTTTTTAGATGGGTTTGGGTGCCAGATCTCCTCTCCTTGCTCAGTTGATCCACTTTTCCTTTCCCCAGTGATGCCCAGGCTGGTTTTACCCCTGGCTGCCAGGTCCCTCTGCAGGGGCAGCTATGCTGCAGCACTCAGGGAGCAAAGCTCTGCATTGGTAAAAATTGTAAACCAATTGGACAGTGGTAAAATCCTCCCTAAATATAAATAGTTGGATTCACTGCTGCCTTCTGAGGAGGCTGTCAGGCCTGGGGGGGTCAAACACCTGGAGGATTCTTGTCCAGACCAAGGAGAGGGAACTTCTTGTCCAGGACTGGAAATAAATGAGCTTTTCTCTTCCTTTGTACCCAAAATCCTGAGCAAAACAGACCTGGTGGGCCTCAAGGGACTGAGGATCTGTTACAGCCTTAATTCCTGATAATGGTTTTCTCCTGGATCTGCTGATCCCGGGGCTGATTGCAGAGTCAAAGCCCAGATCTGTTATCCTCGAAACACCTGGTCCGTTGGCATGTTTTGGTGAAAGTTTTGCAAGCTGGTATTTCAAGACACCCTGGCCGGATTCCAGGGTGGTAATTACTTGCCACTTCCCTTCAGCCCTGTCTGTGGCTCCAGCAGGATAAAATGCTCCCTGTTCCCATCCTTCAAACCCTTCCTCGATGTCCCCATCCCTTGGGGGCAGCTCCATTTTGTTGTCGGCTCCTCCAGCCCTCTCCTTGCTTCGGCTGAAAGGCCAAAAATGCTTTTCCAGCCTCTCAAGCATGGATTATAACAGCAAAATCCTGCAGCTGACTGGGAGATCTAATCAAAGAGGGCTGGGAGTGACAGGGAAAACTTCTGGAAAACACCACACAAAGCCTCTGCTCCCGAGGCTCTTCAGGAACCCTTTCTCACCAGGAGGAAGATTATGAGGGATGTTAAAATTAGGGCTCATTTGTGTCCTTTTTTGTCTAGAGGCATTATTAGTTGTTTTGTAACTAGGTTGATAAACCATAGTTGGAGGGTTGAGAGTTGGTTAGTGATTCATCGATTGTCTTGGGATGGCAGTGGGAGAGCTGGGAATGTTTTTGAGATGAGGATTAGTGGGGTTCCTAGGAGGGATGGGCTTGAAAACTGGTCAAAGAAGGTTGAGTTCATGGTGAGGTTCAGGGGGTAGTGCTTGGTGGTTTGTTAGAAGGGGGATTTATTGATACGAATGACAGTAGTTTGGGTTGGATAATTAAAGAGAAAGTGAGTCATGAAGTGAGCATGATAAAAAATCAGGTACTGGGGTTTAGTTGAGGCATATCATCAAGGGGGGAGGGGAACCCCTCTTTCTTTAGCGTAAAAGGCTAAAGCTGGTTCATAGCTTCCTAATGATTAGGATGCTGTTAGAGAGGATGGGCTTTCCAAGTTAGCGAGGGCATTGCTGCTGGGCTCCTCGGGTGCCAGCCCTGGCGTTTGGAAGGCTCCCTGTCCTCTCCGTGGCTCGGTGCCACCCGAGGAGCTTGGCTGAGCTGGAGGTGCTTTGATGTGTCAGGATTAATGGGATTGGGCAAGGTGCAGCAGGCCTGGGGCGG